TAACTTCGATAGTTTCGAGAAATTCAACGTAATTAAAAAAAAATTCTTATAATTAAAAAAAATCGAGTAATTCCAGAAAAATTCTAGTTAATTCACAAATAATTACAGTAATTCCAAAGCAAATCAACCGAAATTCTAGTAATTCCGTTGTTTTCAGATTAATTCCTATAATTTCTCTAATTCCAAATTAATTCTGGTAATTCTAAGAAATTCAATGTAATTTTCAAAATTATCTCTGATAATTCCAAAAAGAATTCCAGTAATTTCAGAAAAATCTCAGTAATAAGTATTTACACAAATGATTTCAGTAATTCCAAACAATCCATCACAATTTTAATAATTCTAAATACCATTAAATACAGTGTTGCCAGATGTGGTAAAAATTCACCAAATCTGGTAATTTTAATGCTAATCTGGTAAATTTAGTAAAAAAAAAAGAAAAAGAAATGTTGTTACAGCAAAAAATTAATCCACTAATTTTTCAATTACTGATTTAAGTAAATTGAGTCAAAAATAAATTAAACTATTTCTTGCATATTTTTCGAGCAATTTCCACAATTTTCAACCGGAAACTTGTTTATTTCGTCAAATTTTGAAAAACCACCAAAATTTGTACTTTGGTTTTTTTACGAGGATTTTAAAAAATGTTGTAGTTTTTTTTGTATTCACATTTTTCAGCTACAAATACAATTACTTTGAAAAATTTCATTTCAAACAAATTGTTTTATTTTTGTCTTTTAGCAAATTTTTGGAATAAAAACAAAAAATGTCGATTAAACAGACTAAAATTACAAAATTAAATTATTTTCTAATTTGTTTTGCATAATTTAGTTCGTTTTTGAGCCCGAGGCTTATTTATTTTGACCAAACTCGCCTAAAAATTACTTGATTTAATAGAATTTTGAGTAAAATTAATACAAAATAAAGCGAGAAAACACAAAATTTGGCCAAAAGTGCTTTCAAGTGTAAATTTTTCACAAGTTTTTGCTAACAAACCAAAAGTCAACAAATTAATTCAAAGATTATATTCTTTTTGCATTTCTCGAGCATTTTACCATGTTTTTCTGCTAGAAATAACGCAATTATTCCGAAAATTTTTGTTAAAAACAAGCCAAAAAATCGCATTTTTGCGTTTTTCAAAGGTTTAAGCAGATTTTTAAGCAGAGTTTTTTCGTAATTTGGCCATACCACTTCAAAAAACACTAAACTGTTATAAAAAAAGATTATATAATACAGGGTGTCGAAACAACTTTCTTAACTAGAATCTGGTGAATTTTATTTTTTTGAACTGGCAACACTGATAATAATTTTCAAGTGTTTTGACGTTTGATTGGGTGGAAATTGCGTGAGCGTGATAACAAAAAAAGTAACCAAAAACAGTATTCTCTAAAACACTGTTTGGTATTTTAAAATTGAGCAAACAACCATCTTGTTGGGTCACCCTGTATATTTATTATTCAATAAGTGAGAAAACTGCGATACGATGAAAAAATACAAACACTGTGCTCAAATTTTCATTATTTTTTCATGAACCAAATGAAAACCGATTTGGTAATGAATGTTTTCGTTTCATTATGGCAACATTTGCTTTTAATTGGTTAAATTTTAAAATTCTTTTACACAAAAAAAAACTCGAATATTTCAAATTTCTCTCGTAAGAAAAGTCATTCATCATTTGCGACATTTCAATCTCCATGTAGGTCGTTGTTTACGTCCAAGCATTGAATTTTCCAATTAAAAATTAATTAAAATTTAACAAACTCGATCGATTTCGTTATCGCATGTAATAAAATTTTTTTGCAAAGGAAAAACAAGGTTGCACTAGCTACTTTTTATTACCAATACTAAGTTATATACAATTAAGTACAAAAAATTGTTGATAACAAGCGATCTTTGGCCACAATTCAGTCAAAAATCCAGTCTTTTATCAAATTTGGCGTTACTAATATAAAATTTGGCACTATTTTTACTGAAAACAGCCCCTAATTAATGAAATCATCCAAAAACTTATCAGTTTTGCATTTAACTCTTTTTCCAGATACGGTAAAATGATTTTTTTTACTACAACCTTAATAAGTTAAAAAATTATTATTATTGTTAATTATTAATTAATTATTATCCATTATACAAGTTGTATAAAATTGTTTAAAGTAGCAAATGCGACAAACCTATAAAACGAGTGGTATACAATATTTTTTTCTTACTTTATGAAGTCTTATTTCCCTAGAGAATGAAAGAAATTTCTGGCCAAAAAAATATTTACAACTAATTTCAATTTAAAAAAATATTAACCACAAATTCCAGTAATTCCAAATAATTCATTGTTTTTAGATCAATTTTTATAACTTTAAATTATTTCATGTAATTCCAGCTTAATTTTCGTAATTTCAAAATAATTTCTGTAATTCCAAATTAACTTCGATAGTTTCGAGAAATTCAACGCAATTATAAAAAATAAAAAAAAATATTTCTGTAGGTACTTAATTCCAAAAAAAAAATTCGAAATTGTGATAAATCCAATATTGCATCGTAATTCCATTGTTTTCAGATAAATTCCTATAATTCCAAATTAATTCTGATTATTCTAAGAAATTCAAAGTAATTTTCAAAATTATCACTGATAATTCCAAAAAGAATTCCAATAATTCAAATGATTTCAGTAATTCCAAACAATCCAAAGATAATTTTAATAATTCCAAATACCATTAAGTGTTGCCAGATCTGGTAAAATTTCACCAAATCTGGTAATTTTAATGCTAGTCTGGTAAATTTAGAAAAAAAAAAATAAAAATGTAACTCTGAGAGTACAGCAAAAAATTAATACACTAATTTTTCAATTACTAATTTAAGTAAATTGGGTCAAAAATATTTTTCAAGCATCTTCCACAATTTTCAAACGGAAACTTACAAATTTTCCTCAAAAAATCGAAAAACCACAAAAAATTGTACTTTGTTTTTTTAAAAGGATTTTACTAACAGTCAAAAATGTTGTAGTTTCTTTTTGTAATTACATTTTTCAGCTACAAAAACAATTGCTTTGCAAACTTTGGAACAAAAACAAAACAGTTTCAACAAAACAGACTAAAATAAAAAAAAAAATTTTTCTAGTTTGTTTCCCTTGATTTAGTTCGTTTTTGAACCAGAGGCTCATTTATTTTGTCCAAACTCGCCTAAAAATCACTTGATTTAATAGAATTTTGAGTAAAATTAATACAAAAATAAAGCGAGAAAACACAAAATTTGGCCAAAAGTGCTTTCAAGTGTAAATTTTTCGCGAGTTATTGCTACCAAACCAAAAAGACAACAAATTAATTCAAAGATTATATTATTTTTGCATTTCTCGAGCATTTTACCATGTTTTTCTGCTAGAAATAACGCAAATTTTCGTTAAAAACGCATTTTTGCGTTTTTCAAGAATTTAAGCAGATTTTTAAGCCCAAATACTAAACTGTTATAAAAAAAAGATTATATATATTATTATTATTATTATATAATTTATATTAGATAATTTTTTTTAACATTTTTTCCATGTTCCTGGTATCTTACCTTATATGGCATTTTTCTCTGGGGCGCGAGTTCTGGCGCATCCTGTATATTATTATATTATAATTTTCCTCAAAAAATCGAAAAACCACAAAAAATTGTACTTTTTACGAGGATTTTTAAAAACAAGGTTGCACTAGCTACTTTTTATTTATTACCAATACTAAGTTATATACAATTAAGTACAAAAATTGTTCACAAGCGATCTTTGGCTCAATTCAGTCAAAAATCCCGTCTTTTATCAAATTTGGCGTTACTAATATAAAAATATGGAATGTAGTCGTCGCAATTTGGCAGTATTTTCACGAAAAACAGCCCCTAATTAATGAAATCATCCCCAAACTTATCAGTTTTGCATTTAACTCTCTTCCCAATACAATCAACAAGAGCGTCATAAAAATCCGGGAAGCCATCATACCCCGGATAGCTGTTAATATCAATAATTGCGTACTTCCCCGTGTCTTTTTCAATCACCACATCCACCCCCAGCAAATCCATCCCAAACTCCCCCCGGAGTGTGACCGCAATCCGTTTCAAAACCTCCGGATTCGGCTCAACTTTATCGAAAATTTCATGGGGCTCCAGGAGCGTCAAACTGCTCCTAGAGCCCGCTTTCGAGACATCACTACTATCAAAATAAATAGTATCTTCATCACACGCGTGGAAATTCTTCAAAGATGGCCGCTCCACAAAATGGTGTCTTTCCCCGACTATGAAAATTTTATACAAAACAGCGTTGTGATTGATGAAACTTTGAGCCACGCAGGGGGTCCTGCAGTCGGCGAGGCCGCGCTCGTTGAAGATCAGAGACATCTCATGGGCCTCCTTGGAGCCGTGCCCCAGACTGGGCTTGCAAATAAAGGGGTAACTAACCCCGGCGTTGGTTAATTGTTCTTGTAAATTGGTTGAGTTGAGTTCGCAGAAATTGGGGATGAAAATGCCGTATTTGTGGAGGTTGGTTGAGTTGATCTTCCGGTAGGAGATATACCGGTTGAGGAGCTGTCTCACGTGGGGGATGGGGTCGAGGACCACGAGAGTCGGGTGCCCCCTTATGTACTCCTCCACGCGTTCTATCAACTTGGCGCACTGCAATTTGGGGACTTTAGGGGCATTTTGGGGGGCACAAAAGCGACTTTTCTTACCTTGGGGTCCCCCTGATCAGCCGAAGCAATAATATCAGTTAATTTATGTAAAAAAACACAGAACGTACCTTGCGACTCGAGACTTTTGTTTAAATCCAACTAAAATCAGTTTATTGTGTTGATAATATTTCGATTAATGATAAATTACCTTGAATAGGCCAAATCCGTGTTTTTTGCACGTTTTTTCAAACTCGACCCAATTGATTTTTTGGATTTTTTTCTCAGACATCCAACACGCAATATTCGACATTTTTACGCCTCAAATTGTTTATGGAACGGCGTCATGTGGAATGAATTACTAATGGGGCCACCCAGTACATAAATTTGTCACGTTTGGTGTCACCTGCCCCCCAACACGTCACCTAAACACAGGACGTAATCAATTGGGAAAAACCGATTATTTAATCACACTCACCTTCCAGCAATTACGTGAAAATGACTCGTTGATTTGTGACGACAAACACGTGGAATTTCACGCGGAAAATGGAAAAATGCGCAGTTTTTCACACCATTGCTGCCAACATGACTCAACTAATCTTAATCAAAGGATGTGAGCATTGAACAATTTGTAACAATTTAATGACTTTTTCTTGTACAAATGATAACACACGAGTGACTCATCGATTTGCAATGACACGACAAGTGTATTTTTAATTTTTTCTAGAAAAATCAAAAAAATGTGTCAACAGGGCCGCCAACGTGACTCGTTTATTTGCATCAACATAACCTCGGAAAAAAATTGTGGGGCAAAACCATATATATAATACTCGAGTATTATATAAATATGGGCAAAACGTGCAATAAGTGTAATGTTTGTTCCTAAATAATCATAAAACTCGTGAAATGTTCAAACAGTGTCGCCAACTGTTGACCATAACCTCAAAATGTCGGATTACGACCGTGGAAAATACTACGGAAAGAAGAAATTCGCCCAGAATAAAGTAAGTGTCTTTGATCCAAACTCGCTTAAAGCCTTTTCTAGGACCCGTCATCGAGTTATGCCCGGAGTTACTACGGCCGGCGCAGCCCCTCCTTCAAAGACTCAAAAGAGGCCCCAAAACCCGACACGCCTAAAGTCAAACAACCCACAATCCTGCTCAAAGCGCGCGACCACTCCGAGGAGACGTCATTGTCCCCAAAACGGGCCCAAAAAGACCCCGAACTAGCCCCAACCGCGCCTGAAACCCATGCAGCCCCCAGTGTCAAGTCCATGACCAAGAGTGTCAAGTTCTTGGACGAGTCGGTCCTGTCGGAAAACCTCCAAGAGTTTGTCCAGGAAAACAGCGATTTCCTCGTTGTGGGGGTCGTGGGGGCGCAAGGAGTGGGCAAATCGACGCTCTTGAACCTCATAGCCCACAATGTCGTCGGGGAGGAGCTGAAAAAGGCGATTTTCAGGAATTGTGAAACGCCAAACGAGGATTTTCTCGTAGAAAATTTCAGTTTTCCTGAAAGTAAGTCGGAAATTTTCAGGATACAGACGGGGGATGATGTGGAAACGAACAGGAATGCCACGAGGGGCATCGACGCGTTTATAACCTCAAATCGGGTCATTTTATTGGACTGTCAGCCTTTTATGTCTGTTGCTGTTTTGGACGATTTGGTTCAAAGTGAAAATAAGCGTTCGAATATCGTTAGTGAGTTTATTCCACTTGAAAACAGTGGAGAAATTCAAGGGTTGCAATTAACTGCGTTTTTAATGAGCATTTGTCACGTTTTAATAGTGGTTCAGGATTATTTTTTTGATAGTAATATTGTCCGATTTTTACAAACTGCTGAAATGCTGAAACCGACTCATTCAAATCCTGAAGATGAGCTAAATGACCATTTCCCCCACCTCTTAATGGTCCACAATAAAGCCCAAATGGAGGATTTCTCCCCAAGGAAATTCGAAACGATTCAGGAAGTCTACAATTTACTATTTGAGAAGACAAAGCTTCAAAAAGACTCAAATTTGGGGCTAGTTGAGGGCGAGGCTTTTAACGTGTTCCTCGTCCCGGAATACAACCCCAAACTTGGTAAATTTTCAATTAATTCTCACTTGTGTTATGGGGAATTTTCAGAAAATATCTACAATGGACACCCACCCTTGGAGGACCTTGTGAAAAAACTTAGGGCGAAAATTTTGGGCGCGATTAAGACCCCCTTGACTCATGTCCAACTCACGGAAAAAACCTGGCTTGTCTATTGCTCCAAAGTGTGGGAAAATGTGAAGAAAAGCTCGTTTTTTATCGAATACACGAAACTGATGCCCTGAATTTTTTTTGACTTTTTTTTTCAGACAAAAAAACAATTTTGTGGTCAAAATTAAACGTAATCTCGTTTTTGTGAAAGTAAGATGAAGAAAAAGAGATAAAAACCTTGAAAACTTGAGACAGAAAATCTTATAACATTGTTGATTTTGTGTTATAATCAAAGATTTTAATGAATAATCAACCAAACTATTTATTTAATACTAATTTTCAAGAGTTTCTTTTAAAATTCTAAAAAATTGATTTGAAATATTAACAGTGTCACACATTTCAGTCCCTTTTTGTGTTCAAGACTTAATAAAGTTAGTTGAAAAATTTGGTGTATAAATAAATATGTTGGATTAGAGCAGAGACACTGGCCGGGGGTGTGGTGGCGCAGTGACACAAAGCCCCGTTATCATTTAA